TGATCTAGCACAGGGCTACACCAGGCAACCCTTGATCTGGCACAGGGCTACACCAGGCAACCCTTGATCTAGCACAGGGCTACACCAGGCAACCCTTGCTCTAGCACAGGGCTACACCAGGCAACCCATGATCTAACACAGGGCAACACCAGGCAACCCTTGATCTAGCACAGGGCTACACCATGCAACCCTTGATCTAACACAGGGCTCCCCAGGCAACCCTTGATCTAGCACAGGGCTACACCATGCAACCATTGATCTAACACAGGGCTACACCATGCAACCCTTGATCTAGCATAGGGCTACACCATGCAACCCTTGATCTAGCACAGGGCTACACCAGGCAACCCTTGATCTAACACAGGGCTACACCAGGCAACCCTTGATCTAGCACAGGGCTACACCAGGGAACCGTTGATCTAGCACAGGGCTACACCAGGCTTAAACCTGTGTTCTTACACAATTATATTAGCGCATCACTTTAACCGTTTGAGTACCTACAGTAGCCTGGGAAAACTACAGAACTATTCTCTAGTGTATTCCTCGAAGTGAGACAGAAACCCTTAATATGTTGCATTATGTATACTATCTAACAGTAGCACTGAGAGTTGGTCTGTCAGACCATGTATATCGTATACGTACTGCATGCTAACGATATCAGCCAATGTCATGTAACTGTCCATAGATCCGTATACTGTCTAACAGACAGTAGCACTGCGAGTTGGTCTGTCAGACCATATATATCGTATACGTACTGCATGCTAACGATATCAGCCAATGTCATGTAACTGTCCATAGATCCGTATTACACTGTCGCTCTTTCGTTTAAGTTTATTTTCTATTGTCTTGTGTAAATTAAAGTGAATTTTCCTCTACTTTGCTGATTTTATTAAAAAGTTATTATAACGCAGGGTCAGTACAGCTTCAGTGATTTGGTGTTTTAGGATTTTACTCAAGGTCATGATTTGCTATTATTAAAGGGGCTGGTCGGGGAAAAAATGTCATATTTGCTAAAATGGCATACACATGTTTAAAATACCTTCTTATGAAATATACCGATTCAAATTTTGCTGAAATTCACTCCATAAGAGTAAAAAATATAAATATATTAAAGAAATCCTAGATTGTCACCTTACAGTCTAAAACTCTCAATTGACCCACATCAGTGATGTAATTTTACCAAACACGTGTCATCAACAAGGCCAAATGTAACCATCGCGGCGAAAGAAAAGGATGCATGCAAAAGTCATGACAGGCAGGAGGTATCAATACCTTTATATATAAAAACAACACATAGGTAGGAATACGTAACACTTGCATCATACATGACCTTTGAAAACAATTATTTACGTATAGTATTGCTGTCTTGTCCGCTAGTTGAGTTCGACATGGCACATGACGGGGTGCTATTGTTGTTATCTTCACTTTCGAAACAACCATGTGACATATATAAATAGATATGCACTAAATTTACGTGGGGCTGCCCGGAGATTTCAGTAGTCAAAACTGGACATTGCAAGCAGAACTCGACCATCATATTGCCGGGGTATAACTTTTGGAAGGCCAGAGAACGCATTTAGACCCATTTATTTTGTATTTTTTTCCCCAACCAGCCCCTTTAAAACTAGATCCGAATAATCGTTCATATAGGAGCAGAGTGTTTAACTGCAAATTGCACAGAACATTTCTCAAATATTTGAAAAAAATAGTCAGGAGTCACCTAAACATTGACCCTGTAACCTTGAGTTCGACCTTTTTGACCCCTTTTATGTATGTGACAATCCACTACGTTTCCTCAAACTGTATTAGTATGCACGGTGGAATAATGGTTTGGAAATTGTGGAGAAATGACAGTCACTGCAACTTCACAATACATATGTATAGCATTTACAGCTTCCTGATTTGTCTATGACCTTTACCTTTGACCTTGTGAGTTTGGAACTTTGTCGGAACGAAATTTGTTATTTCCTTAATTTTTATAAGCATTTATGTATATAAATAAAGTCTTTTGTTAACTTAGCATTATCCATCTTCCAACACACCTAATATACAAATAAAAATTCTGAAATGGAAACTTGTTCAAACTGTATCAAGACTGAAAGAGTGATGACAGAAAAGTTGATGGACAGAAGGTTTGGTTTGTTTTAACTTTCTATTAATATAACAGCTATGGTCATTTAAGGACGAGCCAGGTTTTTGTGGTGGAGGAACACCCGAGTAGCTTGAGAAAAACCACCGCCCAGTGGCCAGTACCTGTACAGTACTAGAAAGCACAGGGTTGTATGTAATAATTTAGTTCTGAAGCAAATCATTTTCTGACACAGATTTCATATAAATCACTCTTATCTGATAATGAACAGTGGATATTACATAAATAAAAGTGGTGCTGATAAATGCATTATGGGATTTGAAGAATTTCATATGTACTTGCTGCATGGAATCCGGAACCGTGCATTGTATAAGTTTATAGCTAACAACCATTTCTCAAATAATCAAGTTTGTAATTTCAATAACCCTATAAATTAAGTGTGTGTTTCACAGACCTGAAAGTGATATGGTTTTATACAGAAATACATTTCATGTGATTATCTAATTCTACGCTAAGGCTGATTGACTTGATAGCTTAGGTGGAAATTGATAAATGGTATTAACATGTCAGTGTCTGGAATGTGAAGCTTTGTGAAATGGCTCGGTCCTCTCTATTGAGACGGATTTAATTTCTCCATACAACATCACCGGGATATAACCTTCAGGTTTACGATACAAGATAGACTTTTACACTGCTATATATGGTTATCAGTAGTGAATCTGGTATCTAGAGGCCTTCTGTAACAAATCTGAATGTGCAGTGTACACAGGAATTGAAGGGGTTGTTCAGGTATGACTTACATCTGTATTTGTTAAACATGAAGGTGTACCCTATACCAAGCATCATTAACAATATAATACAGTAGAGTACAGGTGTACCGTGTATATATTGTACTCATGAATAATCAATTATGGACTTTTGTTGAGGTAAGAAGGTGGTTATATGAACCCAAGAATAAGATATTAACCAGGATAAAGTTGAGGTCATTATCACTTTTCAGGTCAATATGACCACATATCCAGTGAAATAAATGTCAATTATTGTTACATTAACTAGATGTGGAAATATTCCCTTTTTACATCTTTTCTTTATCATTTTGCAAGACAGGACAAACAAGAGCTGTAAGCCAAAGGCTAACTAATACCTTCCGCTCCCATAAGCTAAATCTATTGGCCCAGTAGTTTTGGAGGAGTTGTCTGAACAAGGATTTTCCAACAATGGACCTTAACTCCATATAAAAAGGGTCAGAATGAAAAAGTTAATACTTTGATGCACGATATGAGGGGGTAGTTATGGGATATGTAAACAAGTTGCATTGAAATTGGTGCACATGTCTGTGAGGAGTTGCCCAGTTGCCCTGCCAGGCAGACGGACAGGGTGATTCCAGTATATATGCCCCAAAACTCTGTTACCGGGGGTATAGTAATATAAGGGAATTGTCAAAAGAGTAGTACTGCTTTGGCAGTGAGTACTGTAACCTTACAATTTGAATGTTTTTGTGAGTATTCTAGACCACAGTTACATACATGTATGTTAGGTTTAACTGAGGTCAGCTAATTGGACTAAAACCCTTTTTTCAACTTGATCAACATATATAAACTCATTAACTGTAATTACATACATTTTCATGTTATCTGAAATCTGAAAATTTGTATATATTTCCTTAATTTTTTTATGAACATTTTCAATTCCTTCCATCTGAACTGGGTGGTTCTAACCAACAGTTTAAATATCTTTGAACAAATATTCTACCTAGCTAGATGACACTCAAGTACTGAGATATTTTTTAACAACATAAATATTCAGCATTTATTACTTAATGTTCAAATTAAAAACTGAAACCTTATATACAGGTTTCTCAGATACTCCATAGAAGACAAGAAACACAAAAATTTCTATATCTGAAACATTTACAATTTGAACTATTAAGCTAACAAGGGCTAAACACAATCTCCCGGATAAGTCACCAGCGTTGAGTTTATATAATTACAGAAGATAATCCCACTTGAGATAAGAATTCTATTGTGTAGGGTCACTATGCTCTGGTCAGTGTATGTTTAGTGTAGTAATATCAACAGCATGGCGTTCTATATATTAAAGAGAAGTAGAGTATTTCTGTAATGACCTTTGTCAGTCCCTGGAGTCCAAGTGGTCAATAATGAACAGATGTGTACATTTGAACTATAAATACATGTTTGCCTGCACACTTCTTGTCAACTACACAAAGTGTATTGGCAGTGCTGTTTAAGATTGTTTGGGGATTCACTGGGTCGACACTTAACTCATACAGTATGGGACTGGATACTTTGCTTTGGAGTAGTAAATGAAAATATTGCCAGAAAAAGAAGTGATTTGTATACATATCATAGTGATCAACACAATTAACGACCAATCCATATAAACTGAATAATTATAATAATCTATCCAATTATGGGGTAAGGGGTGGCTCAGTGGATAATACACTCTCCTGTCACCAAGCAAGGCAGCTGGGGTTGACCCCGATCAGACGTGAATAGGAATGGGGTCACCTGCCTGACCAAGTGGGTTTTCTAAAAAAACACATAATTTAATACGATGCATGTTTTTCTTCATTATTCTGCAGTTAAAATAGTGGTCGGGTGACACAGTGGATAGCGCACTTGTCTTTCACCAAGGCAGCCCGGGTAAGATTCCCCTATTGGACATTAGAAAAGAAATTGGGGCACCTGCCCGGCCATGTGGGTTTTCTCTGGGTACCCCAGTTTCCTCCCACATTAAGATCCCCTCCCCCCACCCCTCAAGCTAAAATCTGGGCCAACAGAGAGCTTGAGTGATTAATATAAGCTGAAATAACTTGTAATGAGGTTTTACCAAACCAAGATACCCACAATACATATATCCCCACTGACAGCACTGAAAAGGTTAATATTACCTTGTCCATGGCATCTCTGGAAACTTTGGCCATGATGGCAGGGAAAAGACTAAAAAAGTTGAGTCTGAAACATACAAGAAATAATACAGCTACATACATGAATAATGGAAATACAGATATGAATAACTATACCTTGAATGTACATTGATGTTAACAAAAGTAAGGATTTATTTGAACTGATCATGAGGGCACAAGTAGTTTGATCCTGTAAATAGTATTGGAATTGATATCATGATTTAATTGTCCCATACATACATGTACAGACTTGCTATTGTTCATATGTACAGTAAGTACATGTAGTACGTTTTTTAGTATACACTATAATGGTAATTAGCAGCAAAACTAACAATCTTAACCAATCAACTACAGTAATGATGAATTAAATCCAATCAAATAGCTGGTAGCAAGTAAAGGTAGTAATTGAATCTTAACCAATCAAATAGGTGGTTACAAGTTAAACCAACAATCTTAACCAATCAAATAGGTGGTTACAAGTTAAACCAACAATCTTAACCAATCAAAAAGGTGGTTACAAGTAAAACCAACAATCTTAACCAATCAAATAGGTGGTTACAAGTTAAACCAACAATCTTAACCAATCAAATAGGTGGTTACAAGTTAAACCAACAATCTTAAGCAATCAAAAAGGTGGTTACAAGTTAAACCAACAATCTTAACCAATCAAATAGGTGGTTACAAGTTAAATCAACAATCTCAACCAATCAAGTAGGTGGTTACAAGTTAAACCAACAATCTTAACCAATCAAATAGGTGGTTACAAGTTAAACCACCAATTTTAACCAATCAAATAGGTGGTTACAAGTTAAGCCAACACTCTATCAATCATACATATCATTGAAGCAAAACTACCATAGTAAAGTAGCTATACCATAGCTATGTATGATAATGGTCTTTTTTCTGTGGAGTACATACCTTCTAAAACCTAAATCTTTATAACATTGCTTCTTTACGTCTAGAAATAAATCTGAAAATAGAATTCATTAGATTAATATTTATTCAACTAGGTTGTATTAAGTTCAAGGTTCATATACGTGGTAGTATATATATGCCAAGTGTGCAGTTTATTTCAAATGCAAATGAACATTGTATCATCTGATTCTGTCATTTCCTTAGGTCTTGGTTTAATGACAAAATATATATATATGTATATAATAAAAATAATATGCAAACTGGTTTAAAGGACTTGCACAACTCAATCAGCCAATCAGCAAGTATTTCACACGATTGTAATCCCTACCTCAATTTGTTCCGGTTAAATAAGTTACCCGAGTAATTAAAATGTGTAAACTTTGACATATTTTTTATTGAATGAAATTAACAGATATTTGACTTTGAAAAAATGTTTAACTTTTAGTTGATTTTAATATACATGTATGATGACAGATTTATATTGGGTCAAAAGCCAGGGTGTTCCCGACTGGCGCTTCACCAGTTTGACTTGTAAACTTCCTATTGTCAAAAGTAAAAGCCTGTAAGGGCTCTTAAATGCCACTAAACCTGCCAAAATATTACCTTTGAAGCCTTCGTCAGGCTAGCTTGTATCTATGAATCAAGACAGTTGTTACTAGTGTTGAACTTCAAATATGAATACTTTTAGTTCAAAATCTTAGTAATAACATATTATAGTATATGACTTAATTGTGCATGCTGGTCCTAAACAAGAATTGAAGTTAGGGCAAAATGTATGTAACCAAGTAAAACATAGGTATCTACATGTATATGCAAACTGCATGGTTCTAATAAAATCAAAGTTCTGGCAAAATACATGAAGCCCCTAGGCCTTTGACCCCTGACTCCTTTGACCCCTGACTCCCTTGACCCCTTTCAGGACCCTGTCCCCCATTTCTTTTTTATTAGTTTAAGCTTTATGATTATGACTGTTCTATTAAATTAGGGACTAATGTTTTCTTCAATCACAGGTGAAGGAGAAAAACACATATATACTAGTTGGGTATCAATGGTGATAAATAGAGTAATAATAAGAATGCCCAAAAATGTACAAAAGCTGCTCTTAATTCACAAACCGTCGGTGGAGTTTTTTTCAACCTACAACTGAGCCTATGTGTAGTTGCTAATTATAATAAACTATAAAGAAACCAAGACAGGGTTGGTAAATTTAAGCAAAAGCTTGATTCAATTTGAAACCTTATTTACATGCTGGGCAAGACAATTTGAGAAGGATATACGGAGAACACGACATGATCAGCTAACACAATTTAAACACCTCTGTGGGTATAACGTAGTTATATCCTCATCGTATCACGCCATGGGGATATAAACCTGAGACGCTATTATCACCGGGTCAAGAGAGCCTATTCAGGTGTAGATATGGGTCACTCCAACACATTTTTGTATAAAAGTGTTCAGAATCACTTCCATGTGTGGTTTTTTAGGCTCCACTTGGTGGTGTAAAATTACAAAATTAATCTGGCAGTATATAATCTTATACAGTGTAATAAATCCAAGTTGGCGATTGCAAGTGAACAATAAACAAAAATTCTGGTTTCATCAAAAATCAAAAATAACTTAAAAGAACAAATGATGTGCCCTATTCACGAAGAATGTTGCATTGACAGAAGGATAAAAGTGTACATAAGTCTTACACAGAGCTTGTTAATTGTTCCTGTACGTAAGTCTTACACACTGACAGAGCTTGTTAATTGTTCCTGTACATAAGTCTTACACAGAGCTTGTTAATTGTTCCTGTACATAAGTCTTACACAGAGCTTGTTAATTGTTCCTGTACGTAAGTCTTACACAGAGCTTGTTAATTGTTCCTGTACGGAAGTCTTACACAGAGCTTGTTTATTGTTCCTAACTAACCATTTTAATGCTATACCGTCGGTATATCCTGTATAATCTCTAATGTCATTCAACATGTCAACTTTAATGTCAAATCATATATAATCTCTTTGGATCTTGGTGGTTCCTAACATGCCAGCTTTGATGTCATATACTGTGAAATCCCCAATGATACTGATGGTTCCTAACTAGTTTGTTGTAATGTCATATACTGTGAAATCTCCACTGATACTGATGGTTCCTAACTAGTTTGTTGTGATGTCATATACTGTGAAATCTCCAATGATACTGACGGTTCCTAACTAGTTTGTTGTAATGTCATATACTGTGAAATCCCTTATGATACTGATGGTTCCTAACAAGTTTGTTGTAATGTCATATACTGTGAAATCCCCAATGATACTGATAGTTCCTAACTAGTTTGTTGTAATGTCATATACTGTGAAATCTCCAATGATACTGATGGTTCCTAACTAGTTTGTTGTCATGTCATATGCTGTGAAATCCCCAATGATACTGATGGTTCCTAACAAGTTTGTTGTAATGTCATTTACTGTGAAATCCCCATTGATACTGATGGTTCCTAACTAGTTTGTTGTAATGTCATATACTGTGAATTCCCCAATGACACTGATGGTTCCTAACAAGCCAGCTTTAATGTCAGATCCTGTTTTATGACCTTTCAGGACCACTTTGTCTGGTTTATGGATTGTTTCTTCTCATATATATATACAGGCTCTCTGAATTTCAATGACTGGATGCAATAATACATAATATGTTCACAATCGATATCTGTACTCTTGGACCCAGTGATCAGGACACAAATAATTTTGCAGAACTCATGTGGTGTATTGATAAAAATGTCAGGCCGCGTTACGTAATACAGGCGTAGTTTGTTTACCATCCACCGGGAATCTGCCCTTAAAGTATTATAATGTCATAATGCTTTTTTAAATGAACATTCAAGATTTTTGTATTCATGCTGGAGATAAAATGAGTTGTTAAACATAAATGATAAAAATATACTATGTATAATATTCTACAAACTCCATTTTGAAAATGGAAAGTTCTAAATTTTGTTTGTTTTGTTTCATTTGTCATGCTGTGTGCTAGGACTTCCAATAAAAGTTTCACATTTTCCTGCGAAAAAAAAAGAAGCTATTCTCTGTATTGCGCTGCCCCCATATATAAATAAAGAGAAAACAGCTTTATTATTTGTATTCGTTCATGCAGCTATAACTTAAAGCAGGATTTAAGGAATGTAATTTATTTTGTCCACATGAGGTTATAACAACATTGAGTGTCTGGACATATTTACCATAAAATCAAAGTAATTACCATTTGAACTTTCAAAAGTAATATTTTTGTTCTGGAAATGTTAATTTGTCATCTATAACAATGGTGACACTACCCCACCCACATAAAATGCACTGTAATGCATATATAAACACATATTAATGAGTCATACTCTGATAAAAACGGTGATAAATTACCCTGTTAAGTCATCATATAAAGTCAAATAACAATCATTATATCACACGACAGTCTACACACGCCATTAAAATTCGCCCACACGATTTATCCCATGTAATTACCTTATACTGTATAACATATACCTTATATAAGATAAACTGTATGTAAAAATGCAGTACTACCAGATTACAAGATGCTTTCAAAGTTTCCTTATGTTAATTGATTTTAAATTATACATGTATCATCATATGTACAGTTAACTTCTGCTTACATCAAACATTATAATGTATCATCTGCTTACAAAATTTCCCCTTTTCCTTCTGTTATATACATGCTCATATTTTACTGGTATTGTGGTCTGACACATGCTTTATATAAACTTTATCATTATTTATGTAACTTTGTCGAACATAAACGTTTCTACACTGAGAACACAAAAGTCCTGTGACCTTGACATTTAAGGTACATAGACTTGTGAATGGTATGACACTAGTACAGTTACATCCAATAATGTTCACCATTGAAGTAGTTGTGTCGTTCAAGCAACGCATTGCTATGATTTCACATCTCCATTCTTATGTAAACTATAAGCTGTCTTTGTTGGAGAAAATCTCTGTATAATACATGTACATAACCCTGTCAAAGTACACATGCATTGTAGCAAAACTGGCCTGGGTCGATCGCCAGCAACCTGAGGTACAAATAGTAAATTTAAGCATTCTTCTAGAGTTTGGAGGGTCCCTGTTACAATGGTGCCTGTGCACTTGACCAACTCTTGTTTAAGTACTCGGTGAATTCTTGGCAAGGGAATACCCGATCCAGGGTTGCAAATAGTATAGTCTTCAGGCTAGGGGCAAAGAGTTTGAAAAAGGAAGGGGGAACACAACGAAATTGACTGAGTCAATCACTACCAACCAGGTAGCTGAATTGTAAGAGTGTCAAGAGTTTGGAGGGTCCCTGCAGGTTCAACCCCCGGTCTGGCTGCACATTTTCCTCTCCTGTTACATAAATGCAACTACGAAATAGCATCAAATAATTTTCTGCATTTAAAATGTTGCGGTTCAAACAAGATCCTAACAGACGCACAGTGTGGTTGTGTTATTGTATATAAAAACAACCTTAATTTTGTTGTGTTAACATATCAACCCTAGTATTTTAACAAATGTATGCTTCAGAGAAGATCTTTCTTAACACCATCAAAATATACCTCAACATAACCTTTATTTATTTCTAATAATAGCCTAAATGATTATTTTATTCAGATATGAAATGTTTATATGGATGATTAATTGAAATTTGTGGTTGTGGTTCACACTTAAATACACCACACTTGGTTAGCTTTGTGTGATTCATTGCTTGTGATAATGAGCTGTCATGTAAAAACAAATTGTTATTCTTAAAAGAAAATCTTAAATCAATGCCATACTATCTTAAATCAATGCCATATTCAGTATAAGAAATATGACGTCAAACACCAAACTGATATGGAAACAATTGGCGGGTTTCAACTACTAAAAGATTATCTCTGTGCTTTAAACCACTGAGGGGTAACGCACATTTGTAGATTATCCTAAATGACCTTTAGGTAGATGAAGGTGAATTGAGGTCAAACCTGTCCTAGTGAAAGGGGTACATGTGGGCAATCATTTTTTTCAACTATTTTAACTTCAAAGTGGAATGAAGCGTGATTTATAACTAAACATTAGACTCTTATATTATTATCTGATTAGTCACTACAATTTTAAACTACAATGTATTTATAATTACCGCCAGTAAAAAATTCTCCTTTCAGAAAGTCATCGAGCCCCAATTCCTCCAAGCCAACGCCTATCAACCGAACGTTGATGGCATCAAGCTGAGGTTTAAGGGCGCTGATCTGCCTCGCAGAGAGGCGACAAAAAGGTCATCCAAACCGCCTCAGGAACACAACCACACATGTCTGGGTCTTCCAAAATGTTTCCATTGTAATATTCTGAAAATACATGAAAATTCATTTTAAAACCGCTAAGATAATTTCAGTTTATATTTCGAAATGTTCATGTCCTTAAAAAACTGACTCTGTGAAATAGTTCGCAAATTAAAGGTACATTTATCAGTAAGTTACCCCCGGTAGTTAGTTAACAACCAGCTATGTACATTACATGCAGTGAATTGTCATGTAGCCAGTAGTGATGTCAGTTACAATTTACAGCTAATGGTAACAGTTATAGCTTACAGCAAGTTGTATCACATGCAGCTTTCAACCAATGATGTCAGTTACAGTTTATATATAATTATACTACAGCCAGGAATGTCAATTAACAGTTTATATATAATTATATTACAGCCAGGAATGTCAATTAACAGTTTATATTTAATTATATTACAGCCAGCAATGTCAATAACAGTTTATATATAATTATATTACATCCAGTGATGTCAATTACAGTTTATATATAATTATATTACAGCCAGCGATGTCAATAACAGTTTATTATATATAATTATATTACAGCCAGGAATGTCAATTAACAGTTTATATATAATTATATTACAGCCAGCAATGTCAATAACAGTTTATATATAATTATATTACATCCAGTGATGTCAATTACAGTTTATATTTTAATTATATTACAGCCAGTGATGTCAATTACAGTTTATATATAATTATATTACAGCCAGTGATGTCAAGTACAGTTTATATATAATTATATTACAGCCAGTGATGTCAAGTACAGTTTATATATAATTATATTACAGCCAGTGATGTCAAGTACAGTTTATATATAATTATATTACAGCCAGTGATGTCAAGTACTGTATATATATAATTATATTACATCCGGTGATGTCAATAACAGTTTATATATAATTATATTACAGTCAGTGATGTCAAGTACAGTTTATATATAATTATATTACAGCAAGTGATGTCAATTAAAGTTTATATATAAATATATTACAGCCAGTGATGTCAAGTACAGTTTATATATAATTATATTACAGCCAGTTATGTCAAGTAC